AAGTGTCCACAATTAGAAGGTAGTCCGCTTTTGAGAAATATTCGCTGAGGTTACCGCTATATATTATGTATAGCAGTATACTATATTTAAATAATTGAATTGGTATACTCGTTTGTCGAAAATAATTGTTAAATGTTTTTTTTTTAATTACATGACACAAACATAAATCGTTATGTTTGTGAAACCTGTTTTTACATTTATATACTTATTATAACTTAGAATATATATAATATATACGTGCCCACGCGAAATAATATTTTAATGAGCTACCCAAAAATACCAGGCAAAGGAGATAGATGTACATGAACCATAAAAATAAGTACACCTCGTAACATTTAAAAATATAAAAAAATAATTCATGTTCGAACAATTTTTACACACCTATCATATTAAACATTATTTGTGGCATCAAATACTTATTTAACAGTTTTTAATTTAAAACTTTTAAATGTCCATTTTACGGTTTGTATATTATGTTATGAGTTATAAGTGTTACTATATATACGATTTATCTACAATACGTATTTATTTTGGAGAAAATGTCTCTATTTTGTTTGTATTATTCATACATCTATAAGTGCATTGTATAAACAATATGTCAAACGAAATAATACACCCGTTTGCTGAATGAGCTATTCTCAAAATTAAAATGAAATTATAGCTATGTAGTAATATAAATAATTATTATGTACATTTAGCAGTTAGTTGAAGTACAAAATTAATCGATAATAGGCTAACTCTTATTATTGCCCAAAACGTGTATAATTTACTTGTGTATAAAGTATAATATACGTAACCACTTAATTTCACATTGTAATTTATATAATCGTTCATTTACCATGATTGCATTAATATATTGGAGGTTTGATTACTATTCTTATAAAAGTTATTAAATTTTAGAGGAAAATATTTGTTGATATTGATAAATTGTTTTCTGGAAAGAAATCTCTTAAATATAAAAAGTAAAAACTTTCAAAAAAAGTTAGTACAACAAATAAAAATCTTATAGGTACTTAACTAATTTTAGAATTACAAAAATATTAAGAGAGGAGTTCATATACATGATATTCGAAATAAAATATATAAGTAAGTAATAGGTATACTATTATACAAAATAATCAAGTTCTGTAAGATGAATATATTTTCCTTAAAATAAATTTAGTAAAAAATGCTATATACAATTGTGGTAAATGCATTTTAAATATTAGTTAATTTTTTAATATGGTAATTTTTTTTCTAATTCATTTCAGCTACCTTTTCATTTCAAATTATATACTCCCAGCAACTGCGTATCTATGATGAATAATGACGAAACTTCCTGTTAGTATAGTACTCGTATTATAATGTATATAATAACGTATACGTTCCTACGAGATAACTACATTAATAAAAATTAAGTCTACTACCAGAAGCAGTCTAAGCTGTAATTTTTATTATACTACGTTATAACCTATAAATTAAGTTATCATCAAAAACGTAAGCGTTAATAGATAGGTATTAATGTCAATAACTATTGACTATATTATATTCAATGAAAATATTTCCGATTTAACTTGGTATTATTTGCTGTAGAGAATTAAGATAAGTGGATTAGAGCAGGAATATAGATTAATAGTATAGGGATATTCTGCTTACAACTATTTCGTCTAAACTTTAAATTCTAATTTAAATTTCAACGAAAATATGTTTATACAAAAATACGAGAAAAATAATTTACTCCAGAATACAAACCAAAAACTGGCTACAGTTTAAAAAAAAAAGTAAAATAATCTAAAAGATCGCTACGATAACAGATATAAAAGAAATACTACCAATACACAATGAGTTCTCGAAACGTAAAAGAAAAATAAGTCACTGTGCGTATAAAAATAGGTCTTATAGCAATGCCGCCGCATGCTGTATTCTTGTTAATAACACCAAAAGATTGCATACGCGGATAATGTGTTCAATTGGTGCGACGAACGCCACCACAGGTCTCGCGCGTCTATATACATAATACAAGTACTGTTATACATGGCGTGTGATGAGAGGGGTCGTGACTTTTGCGTGTTAAATTACCCGCTTTTCCAAAACGGTGTGCAACGCCACAGGGGTATAAACGTATAACAGTATACATTAATCTCGCTTGGACACTCGTCGAAATATGTATACATAATAATAAAAATAATACATTGTATTTTTACCACTTACATAATGTGATGGGAATCGACGCGAGAACAGACGTTTATCACGGAGACGATCGCGTCGGCCATAATATTATTGTACAGGAATAGGTACTGCACGCAGAGTACATGCAGTAACACGTTGTGTATGTTATATTATATATATATATATGCACGTGTATTACGCGGATGACGATGAAAAAAAAAATAATAACAATAATAATAAGGGCTTCTGTAATAATCGTCCCGCATTTTCGAGGCTAATCACCCTCCGCATCAGTGTTAAAAGGTCTATATGTATGCAACAATAAATATACATATAATATGCTACTCAGGTTATAATATATGGTGCACGTCGTCACGGCCGAGCAACGTCTGTGTGTGGACGATTGTTGCAGGGAGGGGAACCCTGTATTATACGAAATTCTTAAAAAAAAAAAAAATTGCTCGTACTGCGTGTGATCCGTTGAACATATTTAATAGACACACCGATTTTGAGGTAAATTTTTAAAAAAACGGGACCGACTACGTTCGGCACTTTTGTTAACGATTAGTGGCTGCACCCCGTCGTTTAGTTCGACTTCCGGAAGCAATGTGGATGTCATAATAAACTACTTATTACTTATCTGATCGACTCTTTAACCTCCCCTCCACCCCGCATAATGACTATCAGAGTATTGGATTTCTTCGACAAATATCTCGATGTGTCTCACACTCGTATTATACATAATATTACCGTTGCTTATTTATAAAAAATATTATGATTTTTCAATATATAGTATTATACATTAGCCTAGCTGGAATCAGTTTTTAATATACTACTTCAATATACAAAAACAATTGTTGAATGAGTAGTTCATCAATTATAATTTATAAGTATTTTAAGTTTGGTGAATGGAGTGAAATTCTACCAAGGATATTTTACTAAATAATGGTCCTCTACTTCTCTATTCATTTTAAACGAATATTTAAAACTCGAGTTTTAAATATTCGTTTAAAATTAAATTTTTATATTTATTTAAAATAAACTGCATTGAATTACAAGAAAATTAGTATAATATGTATATATATATATATAGAAGGAATTCAAAATAAAAGATTAATAACTAGCTTAATATTAAGATTTTACTAGAAAAAAATCAATAGTACAATTATGGTTAAAACATAAAAATATTTTATACTTATAATATATTAATGCATATATGCTGAAATACTTGACAAATTATCTGATTCAGAATATCAAATTTATATTGTATATTGTTCTTTAAAAAAAAAACAAAATTACAAATAAATGGTAAGGATAGAAAATAAAAATAGTTTTGCTTTTCAATTATTTTAAATTATATGAAAATATTTTCAAAAACGTTAGAACTTTAAAAAAAATTAAAATGTACCTTTTAAAAAATCATTCAATAAATAAATTTATAAATTGTAATTACTAATATAATAATAAATTATGATACAAATTATCACTATTAATTGTACATCAAAAGTCAATGATAACGTATTTTATGAACTGTAGAAATATAAAATCTATAAGTATGAAATATATTTTTGTATACTTCATGTATGTATAATTTAAGTACGTTGTAAATAAATAAATAGAGAAACATATTTTCGTAATGCATAAGATGGGGTAAACACGATAGTTATAAGTATAGTTTTAAGGCACTACTTAATCAATACATAAACAACAAGCATAAAAACATTATATTATACTTAAAAAGACGCGACACTCTTATTATTTATAGATTACTTATATACTGTTTCCATTTGACCAGCGATATGGTGAAAAAAATTGCGCTATCTAAATTCTAAATTTTGGTGTTAGGGTTAATATTATAATAATTTAAGCGCCTAAATTTCTAAATTCAAATAGGATAACGTCTTCAAAACAATTTCATATCTATTTTGTGAAATATCGTTAGAAGTAATAATTTATTGTACAAGTATAAGTTAATCGATTAGCATCTAAATAAATTGTAAGATACTGAAATTTCTTCACTATAAAATATCTTATGCAAGAAGGGATTTTTGATACAAACTTGGAATCTTGAAAGTATCTTTCCTTTAAATTTTATAATAGGGTTTAACTGTATAGGCTCAAATATTAGACAACCTATATACACGTCAAGATGTCCAGTGTGGTTTTGATATGCTGTACGTTAGAATCTAACGATTAGATTGACGGGGACGTTACGATGAAATATATGTCCTCTATATAGTATATTATACGTTTTAAAGTATTACATCTTACGATATCGTCGCAGAAAACAGCGTCAATTGTAGCATTATTTGTTATTATTCCGCAGTATTATCGCGTGCTTGGTGCGTTGTCGTGAATATTAGGTCTATATATCTTCTTAACTGGATTATTTACAATTGCTGCAGTGACACTATTATAATATTAATATCGTGTCTGTACAACAGTGTGTGTGTGTGTCTCTCTGTGTGTCTGTGTGTCTGTGTGTATGTGTGTCTGTGTGTATGTGTGTCTGTGTGTCTGTGTGTGTGTGTGTGTGTGTCTGTGCCTGCGCGTGCATGTGTCTATATGTGTGTGTGTGTGTGTGTGTGTGTGTGTGTGTGTGTGAGCGCGCGCGCGTGTGAGTGTACAGGCGTGCATGTAATACAGTCGAAGGGACGGCTACGGTCCCCGCGAGCCATATACCTAACCTATGTGTACGCGCGTCGCATTGGTCGACCCGCCACCACTCCCAAAAGCCCCTATTGGTCGCAGCCCACATACACACGCATATATATGCATGCACGTCCCGTCGAACGCGAAAACTTACATCGGGCACACGATACGTTTTTACTTTGAACTTCACACGATCCGAGCACGACGTACACCGCAGCGGCCACACGCGTCTCCGTCGCCGTTAAACGTAAGTCGTCGCCGCGCGGACACATTTTATTATAATATTAATAATTAATAAACGTCATATTATACTATTACGCGTGACGGTGTCGACGATCCGTGTTTGTTTGTTTTCGTTTTTCCGTCCGTTTTCCGATTGCGTCTCCGAAGAGACTAAACGAGATATTCACCCGCGTCGGAGGAGCAGCGACTACACGAATGCTCCAAGTCGTGCACGTCAGATCACTATTAAAACCGGGTTCGCTTTTTTAAATTGCCCTTAAACGAAGTTTATTTAATATAATAATATTAGGTCCTATAATTCAGTCCGTCGTCGCTGCTTCAATTGTAGACAATCAACAGAAATTAACAGTCCCTCCACTACCACCGCCACCACTGCTCACCGACCCCCGCCGCCGACTCTTGACATCGCGACGCGCACGTGTGCGTGTGGACGCAAACCTGTGATAACTACAATTATAAACAACGTATACGTCGAGCTCAATTAATATAACCATTGAAGGGATTTTACTTGACATCATGGACGAGGGTGCGTTTGACGAGTCGATGATGTTTAACGAATACCATCACCAGACCAAGCCCGGGTCGCCGCCCGCACACCACCAGCACCAGCCGCTGTTGGCGTTCCAGCAGCCTGGTGATATGATGGGATACGCGCTGCCCGTGCCTGACCACATGGACTTGCAACACCATCACCATCACCACCACCACCAACTCCAGGATATGGACATGCACCGGCACCACCACAGCGTTCAGGACCAAATTCAGCAGCAGCAACAGCAACAGGACAGACAAGTACAGATTGGCGATCCACAAGACTTGTTTCAGATGCCGGTTACGTCCTCCGTTCAGGTACAGCCAACTGACATCGTCGTCAACACTAACGGACAGAAGCACGCCATCAAGTTGGAAATAGATTCGAACCCATTACCAGCCACCGGCCAACAGTCTTCAGGTATAAACATCACGCAACAATAATGTATATTTTCTTATGCTTTTTTTTAAGATATTATGATATAATAACATACTCAGCGATGATAAAATGTTTTTCTATGGTTAGATAATATTGACTTATGGTAGGTAAATAAGTAGCTAGATAGTTGGTTTGTTCATAAATAAATCAAATCATTTTACAAATGTTTACTAAATAGTTTACTGATAATTACATAATTTAAAAAGTATGAAGGTATAGATAAATAAAAGGAGAAAAAATAAGATTAATGATTTAAACTATTAAATAACTAAATATACTTTTTTATGTAAATTTTTAAATTTATGATCAAAATAAATTGAGATATTTTAAAGTATTATGTTTAAAAATGTCAACTCTGAAAGTACACGTTTAATGTGAACAAATTTCAATAATTTTATTATTTTGCGATTTATTTTTTTTCCCATCGTCAATAAATTATTTGTATTGTTTGCAGGACTACCGGCTGAACAACCAGTGCCAAAAAAATCGAGTTCTAAATCAAAAAATACCGACAACAACGGTACAAAGAAGAAGAAAACAAGGTCAGTATTCCACAAAATATTTTAAATAATATTATTAGTATAACACTTATAATATGTGTAATTTAATAATTTATTTTATTATTATTATTATTATTATTTTTTTTTTTTTAAATAATTATACTTATCCATCAACTAATATCATAATGTATTACATATTTTACAATATCGGTTGTATATAATATCACTATCGTTTACCATTTATATAGGACAACGTTCACATCTCATCAATTGGAAGAGTTAGAACGAGCGTTTGAAAGAGCTCCGTATCCAGACGTGTTCGCAAGAGAAGAATTAGCTTTGAACCTTAAGCTTAGCGAGTCTCGAGTTCAAGTATGGTTCCAAAACCGGAGGGCCAAATGGCGAAAGAGAGAGCCACCCAGGAAAACTGTTTACTTGACCAATTCCGGTAAGTGTGTGTATTATAGAGAACAGCTACTTATATATATATATATATATAGACAAACTTTTTCTCGCTCACATTATTATTATTATTATAAAATACTCTTTTATAAAACTTAGTATTGAGTCCAGTATAATATAACGTATATATAAACATATTATATTGTAGTTATCACTAATCAGAACACATAAATTATTTTATGAAAATATATTTTTCTTAAAATCCGATGATTTAAAAATAAAATTATTATTTATATATTCTTTAATTTTTGTTTATTGTGTGTATTATATAATATCCAAAGGCTAGATGTTCATAAGATCGGATGATCAAAAATAAAATATTTAATTTTTCTTTTATTGAGATATTAATTATATAAGTAGTTAAATTACATATGGTTACATAAAGTAAAACAATATATCATTATTAGTATAAGCTATTTTAATACTGAAGTTTTAAGAGGATGGTTAGATATCGTTTATTAGATCGGTTATGATGATTGAATTGAGTGATATGTCTAGAGATCCGTATATTTTGATCCTTTTTTATCCTGTTCATAAAAATTATATTATTGTCAAATATTTGTGGCTAATTTAAAATTTATCACTCAATTTAAATATATCAAAAACAAGTGATCACTTATAAAATAAGTGAATACATCCAGAATATCCTTTGTAAAATAATTTATTAAACTACTGACCCATAATATAATATGCATATATATTTATTGGTTGTTAACTACCTTTTTAAAGATTGTATTTCTTATTTATGGAATACCCGAGTACGTCATACTTACATGTGTTGTCTTTATATTACAAAAATAAAACATGATAAATTTGCTTTCATATTGAATACATATTGTGTTGTTAACATTAGTATTTAAGTGAATTAATTAATTAAGAATCTTAAAGTTAAGAGCTATACAAGTGTTCATACGTCGGTTTATTACAATATTTCTATTTTTAAACAAATTATGGGCAGATACCTATGAAAAATATTACAATTTAGAAATTAAAATAACTCAATAAAAATTAAAACACTGTAAAAAATACTAATAGATACGTACACAGATAATGTTCATATCATTCATTTTGATAACAGATTAATTCACTTTAATATTAAAATTAATAATACACAAATTTGATCTGTTCAAACATAAATTAAACCGTTTAAAATAATCATGTTGTACGTTTGTATACGATAAAAGCAACACGTGCAGGCGTAACGTTCTTATAACCACCCTTCTCAAACATAACCGTTTGGTATTTTCTCTGGGGTGCTATTCGACAAAACGAGCAACCCATGACGTTAAAAATCGTATTACCGTGTTAACGATAACATACAATTATTATTATGTACACGTTACAGTTTTCCCATCCGGCTCTCCAGGATCTTCGGTGAGCTCGACCTCGTTCACCACATTGACAACGTTCGGTGGTAACGTTTCGCCATCGTTGGGCACGTGTTCACCGGTCACACTCAGCGGCTCCGAGCCTTGGGGCTACGGTGCTGCCGGTTATGGGGATCTTGCGCACCTGAACCTGCTCAATAGCAACGGCTCTTCGCCGTTCACGCAGAACGCATTTCACGGCAGCAGTAGCAACAATAACAATAACAACTTTGGTGGCACGCCTTACGCCGTCCAGTCGCAAGACAGCCCGGGACTGTTCTCAGCCAGCATGCAATGCCTGGCCCGGCAAGATATGATGGGCCCGCTAGACCAGTCGCCGCCCGACCGCGACTATCACGGGCATCAGCTCAACAAGCACGTGGTCGACTCGTACGTGATGAGCCAGGACATGGCAGGACTCCTGCAGCCGGACGCCGAGTGTGACATCGTTGGGACCATAGGATACGAAGTCCAGGATCACCAGCAGCATCAGCATCAACAGCAACAGCAGCAGCAACAACAGCAACAGCAGCAGCAGATAGAAGAAGACGGAGAAGAGGAGACCGCGATAAAAGTCGAGCCACCGTTCACGCCACTTCCGCCTTTCATCAACTGACACAGGAGGTTTCAGTTTGACACGTACGAGTATCAAACTGAATTCGAATGAACCCGACACGTTTCATTTTAAATTGTGTAAAATTGTGTGTGTAAATCTAAGTTCTACGCACTGTGTATTCAAGTAAAGTGCCGTCTTTCGATATACAGACACGAGACCATTTTCCAACAACGTTCATGGTCGTAGTATTTAAATTATGAATAATTATTAATAGATGATCTTCGTGGTTTCGTACAAATCACTATCGTCGAGAATTACGTATGTGACGCGAGCACGTTCGCAGAGACGAGATTTTAAAAAAGTCGAGATTATAGGAATCGATTTTTTTTAAATCTAAAATAACTATTTTTTATGTAAATATAGATAATTTGATTTATTTATTTATTTATTTATATTTCTAATTTCTGTAAGTAAATTAATTATTAAAAAAATAATCTATTTATTTAATTTTGTGTCACGTATGTACATTTTATTTTGAACTGTAATCGTCCAGTATTACTCGTTCAAAAGAAACTAATAATTTATTTTGTACATAAATATGAAACTATAATATAGATTGGTTATAAAACTATTATATTTTATTTAAGAGATTGTCATTTACAACAAAATTGCGTTGTTCTTCCATAATGATTAGATGTATATACATAGATAATTATAGAAATAATTTAGTGGATATTTTATTATATAATATTATTATTTTTTGAACTCCGATTATTCGAAAATGTGTGTATTATAGTGCCTTATTTGCTTGTATTTTGTGTAACTTAAACAAACTACGTATATTATATACTTTTATGTGCTCTAATAGTTGATAAATTATAATTAAAAACTTGTAACTACAATAATTATTACGTGCATAATAGAACATAACATTTTTTTTTTTTTTTTTTATATGAGAATTGGCGATTGTTTACCTTTCAATAATGCCTTGAATAGCTTTGACCAAGTTAGAAGTATTGAAAAAAATTAATGGTTTATTAATTTGCTTACGGCCGTTCATCGTACAACGACGAAACGCGGTTTTCGTTGCATCTACCGGTCGGTATAGTTTTATGTGCGTACGTTCGACACCGAATCGTTCCGGTGCGTTACCTGGTTTACGTGCCATTGGTATATTATAAATTTACACCTCGATTTCAAAATTGTGATTGACATGCGCGGGCGGCGGGCACAATGTACCATCGTGCCTTCGTTATACGTATGCGTTGTTGCGTGCGCCCGCTCGGCAATTCTAATACATTGCTCGCACGCTTACCTGACGTTACGATTTTTTCCGAATTACGCGGACATCTGGCGGTTATGCGTTGGTCCAATGTTACAGCTAGTGATCAGCTGTTTTGTCATGGAGGTCCGGTCAGTCGAATGATGTGATGTGATAATGACAACACTGTCAATACCGTTCAGGTCCACGTATCATTTTATTCCATTGTTATTATTACCAACTATCCTATTCATGAAACCACAAATTATTATTATTATTATTATTATTATCATCATCATTATTGAACATTGATGTATTATTCTTATTTTTGTACACGGGTCATGTGTATAGTGCATAAATATATAAATAGTACATTGTGTTTAATTATTTAGGAAGATCATCCAGGGTGTTGCACTATTATTCTCTGTATTCACTCTCTTGGAGTATGGTTGGTGGAGGCTAACTGTGCATAAAGAGCAAATATGAACAAATATTTAAATAAATATAAGTACCGCTAATAGACCGTCTCCACTCAGAACCTTTTTTCGCATATTATAATAATGATGCACCATTGAATTTTGATTTAACACTTCCATTACAGTGACCTATTCGACACCTAAAATATACAGCAGAGCGGTAACTACTTGCTCACTTTTTTAGTTTCATAGTAAACATTTTAAAAATAACTGAAATTATTAAAATCTGATAGCATTATGTAAATATTTTGCAGAAAATTATTCTGCTTCCGTTTAAAATTAAACAGTTTGCGTAAATAAAGTGTTACAAATACTTAGAACTTTATTAATTATTATTTTTGAAACACAAAATTTGATTTAGAAAATTAGAGATGATGGTTAAAAGGATCAATATTTATATTAATCACAAGCCATGACTATCTCGTTTCATTTTTGTTGAAGACTGATAAATAAGTATTATACTCGTACATATCATATTATTATGCTAGTAAAATTATACGCTCATATATTTTACACAATATATTGTGATTTATTTGAATCTTTTTTTTTATATGCTATATCAGTACTATATTATAACTAGGTATATTAGTTCCCTTTTCTTTTTGAAGTGTTTTACCAATATAAGATAGGTATAAAAGATTAGTTGTTTTTTTTAACAATATCATTATACTTGTATATTGTGTATATTGCACTTATATTTTGAATGTACGTGTTATATTTTTGTTGTATAAATATTTTTATATATTAAAATTTCAATAAAAATCAATTTTAGTAATATTTTAATCATAGATATTAATTTATTAATGCATAAATTATATTTTTCGATAACAATCGAATAATTTATTTGTATAAATGAATCATACAATTCACCTATACAAAGTAATATAATATAAAAAGTATCTACGTATTATATAATAAATAATCTTATCCAATTTATTAACCATTTAAAAATTCCATCAGATATTTAAATCTATAAACTACTATATAAGTATATAAGTGTTTATTGTTTTTTTTATCAACAAATCACTAAAAGTAAAAACTATTAAATAGATTAATAACTTCTGTAAGTATATGCTTACTAGATTTGTAGTTAATTCATTGTAGTTTTTTTATTATTATCGTAATGATCATTAGACCAACAAAATAATTTTAAGTACCTACTTGTTTTTCGTAGTCAACCTTCAATCAAAAAAAAAAAAAAAAAAAAAACTTGTAATATTTAACATGTCCCAATACATATATTCACTTATAATTATAATTCAAGAAAGTGAAGTGTTCATAGTTATCTTTTTGATTATATTCATGTGAAAAATTGTAATCTATTCATTGCTAATAGATATCAACTCGCACACCTTAGTGTTTAATAATCACTTTTACTGTAAAATCATAATGTATAATACTTTTTTATTTTGTTTAAATATGAACAAGTTCAAATATATTCAAATCATTTTATTCGGTTTCTTAATACTAAAAGGTAAGTCATATATTTTAATATATTTGAACACATTCTACCGTAACATTTTTCATATTTTATTTAATACTTAACGTTTTAAGAGATAAAAATTATTTTTTAAACGATACGTAAGTTGTACAAACCACAAATATTTTTGAGTTGTTCTCTGTAGGAAGTGTACTTTTGATTATATTTTTACTAGTTGAATTGATACTACTATGTACCAACTAGCTACTTGGTATTACTAATGAAAATAACCTAAACATTATTTCAAAAATTACTGTCAAGAAAATGTATTTATTTGTTTTGTAAATATACATTCATATTGCTTAAAAAATAATATTTAATATTAGAAATACCTTATTATTTAATAAGCATTTCAATTACCTACAAATCTGTGTAGAACATCCGAGTATAATATATTAAATTAAAATATTGTATTATGATTAAAATAATTATAATAAGCAAGTATATAATTTTGTTTTATTTTTAACAAATTAGTATTATACTTACCTATATTAAATTTATATGAAATAAATTCGATGCCTTTCTGATAAATAAATATTTATTATAAACCTAACATTAATATATTTATAGGTACTTCATGCGTAAAATCATTAAGGAATATGTAACTTATTCCCTGAAAAACCAAACATAATCACTTGTCATTTTCTCACAATCTATCTACAAATATCAAATCAATTAAAATAATTTAGCACTTAAATAATTCTAAAAATGAATGATAAATTAAATTTTATATTTAAGAATCATCGTGCACAAACCCTTTACAAAATGAAAAAAAATGTTCACCACATTCACAGGCGCAAAACGAACAATTCCCTTACATAGTGAGTATTTTTATTTTGATATTTTTCACATGCATTGAAATATGTCATTTTTATGTTTCCGAGTATTAGGTATTTATAAAAATGCATTCAAATGGAGAAATATTATGTCAAGGTACATTGATCGATGTGAATTGGGTGATAACTTCTGCATATTGCATGAAGTAGGTATTTAATTATTTGAATCTTCAGTTAATGATAATTATAAGTTATTTAATAGACTTAATTTTGGTTTTTAGTAACATTTCATTGAACAATATAGATATTGTGATGCGAAATAATAAGACTCGTGAAACCATTTTGAAACCGAGTAGAGTGATAGAAACAAAATACAATGATGTGGCGTTAATTGAGGTACATTTAAGACTAATATCTTTTATTTTTATTAATATAAAGTCACGGTTTTTCTGCAGCGTCCAGACGCGACGTCTGACGCCAAAACCCTAAATTATGTATTTCGAGAATGACTGGTTTCCCTGCTCTCGTTTGACGTGGCGTCCGATGTCAATATCATAACAGTGATGTGTCCAGACGCCCAGCGTCAACATTTCAAATAACAAATTTTCGTTTTCTTTAACAGAAGATAAAGCTTTAATTTCACTCAAGGGAAATAATCAATTTTCGGAATTAAGTTCATAAGTAGCTCTTTTTCAATTTCTTCATTATGAAGCAACAATTCAAAAATAATATTATTGTTATTAATAATAATGTTTAAAATTAAATTTTTATTTATATTGAAAATTAAAAAAAAAATAGAACTTTTAGGTGGAAACTACGTGTGGAAAAGACAATGTTTGTTTTGGTTATGATTCAATTTTTGTAAAATTAAACTAATGAAGTGGGATAAAACAATAAAATCTACTATGTTTAACGCTACAGAGAAAACAGGGTGAAGCAGCGTTCAAACACAGCGTCAAAACGCTGCGTTTCGTTGCGTCTGGACGCTGCAGGGAAACCATACCTCAACACATTTAAAAAATAAGTACTGTCATTATTATGTCGCTGTAAATTTGAATTTTATTGTTCCGTAAAATATTATTATTATTGTTTTTTAATTATAAATTTAGCCTCGGCTGCTTGACCATTAGCTAACATTTAGTTTATATTTTATTTACTTGTAGTGTTACAAAAATTATTACTTAAATGCTACTGAAATTTTTTTTTAACAAGATATTGTACTAATTTACTTTATGAATCGGAGAGTGTTTTTAATGGATATTTCGTCTTGGCCTAAGGACTGATGAAACTCAGTGATGATAATATGTATGTTTTTGTCCGCTTCTGTTTGTCTACATTCGACGAGTAGGTGTTTCACAGTAAGCAAAATTTCTCAAGTTGTACAAATGGTTCTTCTTTACTAATTTGGTATTAATGAGTGAATCGAGTGTATCCTATTCTTACGTGTGTTAAATATGACTCTTGTTTGGTAAAATTGTTTGTATTTTTTCAGTGCTTGTTTGTTATAGTTTGATTTGATTTACTCGTAGTTTGTTTTCTTATCTTTTCCATTTGTTGACCATTTTCTTCCAATTGTATATTTATTGAACTAATAAATATTGTTCTTTAAGTTTGTTTCTATTTGTTCATTATTTGCTATAAATTTTGCCAATTTATCAACTTTCTTGTTACTTTCGATACCCCTGTGCCCAGGTAGGTGTTCAGACTATGCTGGTTTTTTTTTTTTTTTTTGTTATAAATATATTAATTTTTATACTGTTTTGTTCTCATAGTTGGCTAAGCTTTTTTGAGATTAAAGGATTTTTGAAAATATTATAATTATATGGTTGTTCATATTTTTTTATTACCTTATTTCAGAAGGTATATTACTAATATTTCAGTGGTATATTATATGCTACAGATGTTATTTCGTTTTTGTTTTAATTGAACATTTGATGTAATAATCGCTATTTTAGTTTCTTCTTCGGCTTTAAAGGCATCGGTATACAAATATATAATTTGTTTATAATTTGGAAGTTCTCTGATTTTTTTATAAAGGAGTTGTTCACACATGGTTGTTGATATATAATTTTTGTTGTACTTAGCTAGAGACATTTTTTGTTCTATCTACAGTTGAAAGTTTGGAAGTTCATAATTTATTAAACAAATTACCACTAAAATACATAAGAAACTTAAGGATAATCTTAAGCCTGCATGGTGTATTATGTCCATAGTTATGAGGAGTATTTTTTTAGCTATAAAACGTCAAACCATATAAATGAATATTAATCTCATAATTGAGTTGTGGATTTGTAGTAATGTTTCCGTGCTTGAACCCCAATTTTTATTTTCTATAACATTTATTACGTAAAATCTTTTTTTGTGTTTTTTATTACATTATTAATGTGTAGATTTAATGTGAGATTTAGATCTTAAGTTAATCTTAATATCTTAACGTAGGTAGTGTTTTGGTGTAGTGAATTTTTTTTAGTATTTAATATGATGTTATTTTGGTATGTTTTTACTCTTTAAAAGCATTATGTATTTTGATTTTTCTGGTGAAAAGGAGAAACCTGATTTTTCCCCATTTGTTTAGAATATTTTTGCTTTGTCGGATTATAATTTTTATATATTTAAGTATCTTATGCCTAATCTAAACGTAATTATAGTCAGCATAAAGGGACATTTTCGTTGATTTCGGTATTTGTTTAACAATATTAATTGTGAAAAAAAGTGTGTTGCTGATTGTTGAATCTTGTGGTAGGTATTCAATTTTCAAGTGCATATGAAGTTGAGTAATTCCTATTTATTGCATCTTCAAATTATCTATAATTTAAAAAATTGTATTTAGAATAGATTATATTTTAAGTGAGTCTTCATTTTTGTAATTGCTTGATAACTATATACGTACCTCCAAATAGTGTCAAATGTCTTTTCGATATCTAAGCTAAGGAGTACCATATGTTGTCACTTGTCTGCATGTCAAAATGTTACAGATGTCTAGTTCTATTTTTGTAAAGTAATTGTATGTTGAACGTTTTGTTCTTTGGATATGATTTTATATATTTTTATATACCTACTAGATTAATCCTTGATTTATTATGTCTTCAATTATTTTGCTCAGTGTACATATGAGGAGTATAGACCTGTAGCTTTGTGCACCGTATTTATTTAAATTCGATTTTTGAATTGATAAAATTATGATTCGTTTCCATTGCTTTGGATATATTATAAGTCATTTCCATAATTTATTGTATACCTATAGGCTAAAAATTATTCAATATAATTGATAAGTAATTCTTTTAAGAAAATGAAAGGTATATTATATATATCACAGCTGTTTCTTTGTGTGTGTGTGTGTGTGTATATATGAGTTAATATAGTATTATTTTAATACTAGCTTTCTGTATGTCTTTTTTGTGGTTTATTATAATTCGTTCCACAAAACTACAGGACATTTTTTTCTGGAAAATTTCTTCTTTTTTTTGTTAATAGTACTAATTTTCTCTTCAACGTTGGTTATTTCTCTTTTATTATTTAGTAATATATCTATCTTTATTTAAATTAGTTGAGTAAGTAGTTTCCCATTTTGAAATATTATTATTATTTTAATTTTAATAATTTTTTTTTGCTATAATGTTTTTTTTTTTTTTTTTTAATTTATGCATCAGATGGAAAAGTACATCATTACTGATAGTATGATGGTAACATCCATTGAATTGGCCACTGAAGAACTCTCGAATAATACAAAATGTGTTGTAATTAGTCTTCAAAAACAGTCAAAAAATGATTTATCTCTCATATATTGGAATGTGGTCAATATTTTAAAACAAGAGTATGATAAAAGCGAATATTACTTAGAAGATACAATTTGTCATTCACAAATATGGAATTTATTACAAAACGTAAGTCTTCGTAGTTTAAAATAAACTTAAAAACAACATATTTAAAAATGTATTTCTAATTTAAAATAATTCACATGATATTTAACACAGACGTATAAATATACATTATTTATTATTACGAACAATTACAGACACAGCAGCAACGTGGTTATAAAAATAAATAATAATAATTAAAAGTAATGAATCGCTACTCTATAATTCTCTATGAATATTCTTTATAATATAATATTGTATATTGTATAGAATCTATAATTTTATTAAAGTATACAATTTATCATGGAATTATAGTTATTATACATAAAAAAAAAATTTTCATAAAATTGTATAGGTATTGATCATAATACTTATCTTGTAAATATTTTAAATACTTAGAATTTGTATCAACAGTTTAATTTTTATCAAATTAAAGAAAACAACTATATTATATAATACAAAGTAAATCATGTGCGTATATAAATAATTTTCTATACTTTTAAAATTTTAATTTAATCACTAGATCGTTTAAATTTTTAAAGGCTCTTGATCTTATCAATTTAAATAGTTAATTTAATTTTCTTTACCAGTCATCTTAATAAGTTTCATAAAATTATTTTTTATGTAACAACAACACTATTAGTTTAAAAAACAGATGTGCACGCAGGGCGTGCAGAGTGCGCCCAAGCACGCCCTGTGAATTTTATGGGCCATGCCTAATGTCTGAATCAAATTGACCATAATATAATAACATTAATTACAATAAATATATCTTGTTTACTAAAATCCACTTAAGATTATATTTTTAATGCAAATTTGAAAATTAAGTTAATTTACTGTATTACACTCTATTAATTAAAGTGTGTATGTAGTTAAATGTATAGATGTGTATTGACTAATACAGTAGTGTTAAATATTAAAAATTGTTAAGAGTTATTTGTAATTGTGTACTGAGAAACCAATGGTTCAATTTACAATTTACAAAGTAAAACTTATGATCATCTATTATCGATAATATTATTTTTTTCTTTTTTGATTGTATTTTAACTTAAATGTAAAGCCGCTATGACTACTATCTCAAAAATGATATATGATAGTGTGCAATTTGTATTTTTTCTATTATATATATTAAAAGAACATTAAGCTTAAAAAAAGTACAAGTATAATAGTTTCAAAATAGAGGGCCAATAATAATATAATATATGTACTACCTACTTTTGGTGTCTGCGCACATTAATGACAATTTTTTCCCCCTTTATTGTTATATACACAATTTGCACCTCAAGGGTACAATAAAAATATTGGCTAAAATAAATATTATAATATATGAAAATCTTGATAAAAGCAGCCACCCAATGATGACACTTTTAAGTGAGGTTATAAATTAATTTTTACATATATATTATATATTATATACTATTTATATATAATTTTTGTTATTTTTAAGTTAACATATCTCTACACCAGTTGCGTTTTAAATGCCTTGGAGATTACTAGGAATAACGTTTTATGACAGAGCTTGAATAAGAGGATTAGAATGAGTTGCAAGTCGATTATGGAATCTTTTATAATAAGTTATTGCTTCTTCTTTTACAGTTATAATTTTCAGGTCTGCGTGAAGGAAATGATTTGTAACATAAGAGGGGGAGTTCGTTAATTTTCTTAATGCAATATTTTTAAAAGCCTGAATACGATTTAGATTTGATTTTTTAGCATTTCGCCAGAGTTAAAGACCATAAGTCCAAATAAGTTTGATGAGAGATTTATATATTAGTAGTTTTGTTTTTAGATTTGTATATTTGTCATTAACTAGTAAGGTTTTAAGCAATCTATGTCAATAAATATACTATTATTTTAATTAAGATGATGTAAAAAAAATAAGAAATTGATAATTTTTGTTACAATAAACATGACATTAATACAAAGAATATCATTGTTATTACTATTGAATTTTAAATTAGGGACAAGTTAACATGCTAGGTGTTAAGTATAAACATACATAATAACTGATAACAGACTTATTAAGTATACGAAATTTATATAAATTACTTTTATTGTGTTTGTTTTTTAGATAACCGATAATGGAGCTCCTTTAATCTGTAATAGTCATTTATATGGTATATACTCACTCAAAGAGCCTAATATATTCAATAACATTTTTAAATACAACAATTGGATCAAAAATGTAATTAACCCAATATCTTCAGATAAAACATCAGAAAAACTTACTACTAATTTTATTGCTAATTATAATTTTGTGACTGATACAAATTTAATAGTAACAAAAGACATAATAAAAATCGATATGAAAGATAAATCTTCACTAGACACAGAAGATAAACGAACTTATTCAAAACCAAAATCCATGCCAAATTTCTACTCTCCAAAAGAAAGTAGAAACATCGCAATGTATCTGAAATATACTTCAGTAAGGGCAGAACTCATTGACGCAAAAAACACCCAGTCAGTTGAACTATCTTCAAAAGGTACTGAAAAAACACTAACTTCTTTGTTTGATGTAACAGATTCGGACGATCTTATTTCTCCAAAATTTTTAACACAATCAAATTCTTCTATTATTATTAAATCGTTGATTACCGAAAAACCTACATCAAACTCGAGTCCTGCAACCTCTATAATTGGAAAAATAGGTAACCAAAAATATTCTAAAGAATCCATAGAAACTGATAATATTTACGATAAACCTAGTTCTGAACCTTTTCCTGAAGAAACAGAAGAAACTCCGGATAAATCTAGCTCTGAACCTTTTACTGGAGCAACAGAAAAAACCGAATATACCACAGAAACCACAGAAACTAAAGAAACTGAAAAAACTGAAGAAACTGAAGAAACTTCAGATAAATCTAGCTCTGAACCTTTTACTGAAGTAACTAAAGAAACTTCGGATAAACCTAGTTCTAAACCTTTTACTGGAGCAACAGAAACAACCGAATATACCACAGAAACCAAAGAAACTGAAGAAACTTCGGATAAATCTAGTTCTGAACCTTTTACTGAAATAACTGAAGTATCTTCGGATAAACCTAGCTCTGAAACTTCTGTTTTTCAATCTTCAACCACAGAGAAATTTACTTCGAGTTCAAATCCTTCAACGACTATAACTGAAGAAACAGAAGAAATGTACAATACGGAAGACGACCCATATTCGGATATGCCCAGCACTCATCGTTCTACTACTCAATCTTCAACTACAAAAGTATCGACATCAAGCCCGAACCCTACAACGGCTATTACCAAAGAAACAAAAGACACTGATATTACAGAAGATGGGCCAATTACGGATAAACCTTGCACTACAGTTACTGAAAGAACTAAACAAACGTCGCAAACAGATACAACAGTGACTTATTATAATAATTCAACAATAACTACAATTATACCCTCTACTACTACTACAAATCAGTCATCCATAAATCCGAATACAACACTTTCTGGTGATGAGTTAAATACAACAAAGATAACGACTACCCCTACAACAACTAGGATAAGCACAGCAGTAACATACGACATTTCTGATTCCAAAGAATCTTCAACATTCGTGGACGATCAATATCAAGATAAATCGAGTTCCCAATTAACATCTATTCATACAAGTTTAATAGCAGTTGTATTTTGTATCGTGTATCACACCAATTTGTGATTCATCTATAGTCTCTTAATTTTAATTTGTACAGAGCCTAAAAAACCTACAAACAATTAAAAATTAAACAAAATACTTCAAATTAATCAATTTCAAAGTTTTATGATTTTAAACAAATCGTGAAATTTTTTTATAAATAAAACAAAATTAAATATACGTATTATATTTTTAAATTTAATAAATGGCATAAATAAAATACAGC